CATGAGCGCGATACTACCCAGTCGTTCACTGATAAACTGGTTAACTAGTGGATTCCAATTCTCTAATGAATGGAGTCTTCKCAGTAAGGTAACAAACTCTTCTGCTACGGTACTACTGTACGTGGCTGAAACCGATGYTGGTGCTTTAGCTTTCTTACGGCCWCGTTTGCTTTTATCTACTAGAAAATAAAAGAGGTATTTGTATTAGCTGTTTGATCTTTTCATAAGCATTCATCTATTTGTCCTACTTATCTCGTTAACAGTGTGCCTTTAACTAAGAAACTAATCTCTTTTACACTAGGGGCAGAAAATTTGTTCCTGTAATATTTTAAAAGTTATACATACGTGGGATTTGTTGGAAAGGTAAWGTYCCAGTACAAGCCATGAGAACCTTTCCTARCAAAGCAAAGAGTTTCTCGACCAGGTTTGCTTTTCGTTGAGTGTCACTCTTATTGTCCCATGARGTTAACATTGAGCGGAGTAATCGTAGCGCTAAAACCTACAGTATAAAACGTAAATAATAAGTACTAAATAATAATAAAGTTTGTGAATATACTTGGAATACACCATGACAAAAATGAATAGGAAATAAAAAATGATCGAATGAAAAACGAATGATCGAACACAAATGGAATTGATGGAAGAAAGAAATTTGAATGCATAATGAGAAGTAGAAGGGCAGAAGGAAAAAGAACAAATATAATTGCAAACATGGCAAAAATGTCAAAGTGGAGTAAGGGAGTGTCACCTGTCTTGGTAGATTAACAGCAGTACTGGTAGATGATCGTTCTTCTTCATGAATTGATCCACTGACAAGCCTTAACAACAGGTCTACCCATTGAGCGCTGCTCAGTGCTTTACACATTGTGGGTGTGACGGCAATGCTCCTAATAAACCCAAGTTTAGCCCAATCTCTGAATTGCTGCGCTTGGATACTCTGAACTGGATTCGCTGTATTAATAATCACACCCTATAGTGAGTAAAAAGTACCTCTTCCCAATAAAAAAACGTGTGAAGACTGGCTGCGATGTACAAAGAAAACTAACCTGTATTGGTGAAGGTGCCAGACTCTACGAGTTGCTGGAGGAGACTGCTGACAGTTCTTACACGGCTGACTTGGATGTCTTCAGCATGTAAACCACATGATATCACAAGAGATCGCATTAAACACAAACATGATTGTCTTATCAGGGCTGTAGGGTGACTGGACTGGATTTCAGTCTTCTCTGGCTTGGAATCGTCTACAATGGAAARGACAAGAAACACACATAAACAAGCAGTYGAGATAATGTTGGTTGTGTTGGTTTWCAAATCAGAGGTGAATGAATAAAGGTACACTACCTTTCATATCTTCCTCTTCTTCATCACTGCTATCAGGTACAGGAGGYGGTCCAGCAAGTTTAAGGTCATACTTGCCTTCCTTACCCATACGATACGAATTAGTACTTCCTGTAGCCCACTGTACTCGTGCCCAGCCGTCTTCACCAATCTCACTTATTATGCGGCCCTCTCCTGGTGGCGGTCCATCCTATACCAAGTAAGTAAGTTTGTAAATCAAACACGTGTTGGAATCTTAAAGCATTGCTCTGAATGCTCTGAGATGTGTGTATTATTTACTAGAAGAAGAATATCGTTTATTAAATAAAACACTTAGCAGTCTTACGACTGAATTGCGTGTTAAAATTTACAATATATAATGAAATAGATAAGAATAATGTTAGAATATAAAAAAGTATTATAATAAAATATATATATATATATAAATATTTAAAAGATAAATATTGTAGATTCACTGAATTGTAAAGGAATTAGTGTATACAAAAAGTTAAGATGAATGGCTTACAATAAAACTGTTTCTAAAACGATTAGTTTTGCATATAGGTGTATTGAAAAAACACGGTTATTACGTCTTAAGAAAAGCAAAAAAAATTTTAAACTTTTCTTAGCTAAACAAAGGTCCTGTAGAAAATGATATTAATACAAATGGAAGCTAAAATTTGAAGAAAATATAGTAAGTCATTGTAATGAATTCAAGAATAATTACCTGGTCACCCCATTTCCAGTCAGGACCACGAACGACCCGAGTACCAATTTTCATCAGCTTTACAACTTCAGGTCCCGTCAGGGGTACTGTGGGGCGTTTCTTGGATGATTTACCCTCATCGATTATTGCTGCTAGAGCTGCRTCTTCTTCTTCACCAGTCTCACACGGCCCAGCAAGACGCATGATGGTTTGGGCAAGMCCAAGTACACCAGAATTAAGGATGACACACACATCTCCTGACCKGTGRTCAGCAGTTARCACACCAAGCGCTGAAAGAAGGAATCGAGCAACAGGAAGAGCACCAAGTGACAASCCACCTCGGTTGTAGTGATCACYAGATGTACCCKKGTTTAGTTCTGCCATTTTAAAGGTGCTATCAGCAAAGTGRACTGAAGCGCGCAAGATGTTCAAAGCCCAGGTGTTGATTTTAGCATAAGTAGTTTCCAGTAGCACACGATCAGATGGAGGTACTARGTCGACATTKGCTAAACAATGGTGAATGGGATCCCTGTGGCACAGCAAATCAATATTAAAAAAATCAATCAATATTTTATACAAACTAACGTAAGTAAATCAGCGAAGTATGACAAGAAAAAAGTATATGTAGCCCKACTAGTCGTCAAAACATATTGTGAATACAGAACGTTCATCCAGCTACGTGTGGTCAACGCCTTTATACCAAAACCTAGAATATGATAATATGATTACTGAAAAAAATAACAAACCTCATAAGAGACCTTGATGTTAACAACCCTTGCCAGCCACAGAGGATAGCATAGCGAACAGACGGAATCAAGTAGTCTTTCGATACTAAAGCTAGAAAGTTTTCTGCTCCATGGAGTCTCAGTCTAGCACGCTCTACCTGTGGTGACAAAACAGGGCAAATTAGTTATTAGTTCTGGACAACAATTCAAGAAACAGTTCCACAGTTTGGAACACATTTTTGAACACAATGTTTCATTCAACCATTCATCCATCCATCCTTTCATTTATTCATTCCTTCATTTATTGTCATTAAATATACCTGTTTTTCTAATGCTTTGTGTAAGGTCTCAATGTCTATAGGTTCTTCATCAATTACAAAGTCTTTAATGTGATTCATGAGCACAGTTTCAGCTGATGCAGACATCATTCGTTCACGAAGCCATTTGACTTTCTGCACTCCCTTGAGTCTTGTGTTGGGCAAGTTATGGAAAGGCTACAAGAGACAGCATAGATATTGAAAAAAGATAAAGTACTGGAATAACTATTGAATAGTAATAATAATMATCATCATCATCATCATTAACTAAAACATCAACAAACGAGTGGAAAACAAACAGTACATTCAAAGACTGACAGACAGACAAACAAATAGACAAAAAGGCTCGTAGACAGTTACATAATCTACTAAAAAAGAGAACTTAACAGTGCGAGCAAATGAGTAAACAAACCTTGTCTTTGTCAACTTGACTTTCATTAAGTTGTTCTTCTTTTGTGATCTTTTTGGACATTTCAGGAACTTCTTCATCGTTTCCTTTATTTTTCTCAACTGTTTTGTGTTGTCCTTTCACAGCACATCGATCTTTGATCATTTTACGAACCACACGAACCCATCTTGGTACAGTACTTTGGATCTTAAGTCTCGTCATTGTATTCACTTCAGATGATACAGCAGGGCGAAGCACTGTGAAGAGGAATCTGCACCTTTCTAGAGCTGGATGACAGACTTCCTCATAGGAACGTGATGACTCTTGACGAGCCTAATAATAACATTATTGATAAATACATAAATGAAAACAAATAAACTAAAKAAATAACAAACTAAAAAATGAAGGAATAAACGAATGGATGAACAAGTGCATTAGTAAACGGATGAGTAAATGAATGGATATGCGAAAAAATGCACAGAAACTGAATAATAAACAAACAAATAAATGGACGATAGTGAAGTGATGAAAATAAGTGAAATTGTGGATGAATGAATAAGTGAATAAAAGAATGGAAGAACAACTGAAATATTGAACTAATGAATTCAAATGGATCGTCAAAAAGAACAAGAACCAAGAAATGACTAAACATAGAAATGTTATTTCTCTACCTTTATCAGTGAACATTTTGCTTGATGAACAACCTTCAGAACTTCAACTAACGGTTTAGGCAAGACTGTAGKAAGATGGCTTGAATAAGAGCTGGTACTAGCGTGTGGCCATGAGAGGTCTGGTAATGATGCTGATTTAGATGATAAAGGACTGTGATCAGTGACACTTAATGCCATGTTACCTGAAAGAGGCAAACATTTTTAACGTGAATCTACAGCCATAATCTCTAACAACTAYAAGTAAAGCTTACCAAGTTCTTGGTGCTTCAATAAACAAGCCATTAAAAGTCTTCCTACTTTCTCTACAGGGTGATCATTAGGAAAGTCAATTGGTAACACCATTCTCTTGTGCTTACAGTATCGTTCTACTATAGACAAGAACCTCAAGGCCTGTGGATCCTCTACTTTGGTCTCTATTAAGGACTGTAATAAGGGTTTGGATGGGTCCATAGGTTGACATGTGAACGGTTCYCGTTTCTCTACTGTTGTATCTTTATCACTAGAAGAAAAAATATTATATGAATTAATAGTCAATTGATAAGTCAAACCTACGGGACTGATGTTGCTACTGGAGTGAGCACAGTCAACTCTCGCCTTACGGACACCCCGCTACAACGGACACCTCGATATTGCGGACAGCAAAATACTGAATCCCCGGCGAAAAATACAAAGAAATGACTGAAAGTAACTCTCGTTACTACGGACTCTCGCTACTGCGGACACTAAATTACGGTCCCGAGGGTGTCCGTAATAGCGAGAGTTGACTGTACGATCCCCCTGCTTTATACATGTTGTACATAATTGTACTTGTGTACAACCAAGTATGAAGGATTCATCACCATAGACCAGATTCAACACACTGATTGGTACTAATGTCATAGATTGGACTGAATAAAATACTGTAATTTAACATTTTAAACATCTTTCTGTAACATGGTTAACCATTCTTTAGAAGAGGTTGTATGGATTTGGCACCATCATACCTAGAACTACACATCTGATCAACAAATGAGGGTTCAGTTCCACCAGCAAAGATATCAGACAGCAACCATTTCTCTGCTTCCTCTTCTTCACATGATAACGCCGTTGACCTTGACATGTAACAAGCATCAAGGCCAAGCAGCAGACCAAGAGTACGTTCTGTATCAATCAGGGGTGATGATACTGTAAGGGCACTGTCTAGGGCAAACTCCTGCTCAGGCTGAAATGAAAAATGAAAAACTGAATGGGAAACTAAAAGTGTGAGAAAACAGGGACTGTTGGTAAATAAAGATAGATAGATAGATAGATAGATAGTTTTATTCAAATAACTTGGCAGCCAAAGGCTGAATTACGTTAAAGTTACAATAATTGATATAAATATATAAATTTGATAAAAATTTCATAAATATGAAAAATATAGAATTGAATATATGTACATGTATGATTGATTGTTAAGAAGGCGTATAATGTATTTAATTGAAAGATTGTTATAGAGCAGTGTTATTTCATTGCATTGAAATTTATGAAACTTGACCGTGTTCTTTTTGTTGATATCTTGATTTTATTTATCTTGATTTTTTTTAAAATATAATTGGTTTGAGATGGAAAATGAGCTGGAAATTAGTGCAAAGTGTTAAACATTTCCTTATCTTGTCATTTAATACTAGTTGCGATAGTGTGGGAACCCAAAGCTCTATATATCAGCCTGAATAGCATGGACTTAACGCTTACAATTTGTTTTTTAATAGGCTAAAAATGTCAATAAAAATGTTTTGGATGTGTGGACAATTGATAAAATATAAGACTAACAGAATACATTTTATGGATATCCTTCAAACTTCTCAGCTAAAAAATGCTTGAATAATACATGCACTACAACAGACTGAGGATTAAATCATAATATAGTGAAGAATATCATGAAATCTTTACCTCTACAAAGATCCCTACAAACACAGCTTGCATCATCTCACGAGCTTCACTTGAGTGTTGAGCTTCTTCAAAAGCATGTGTAGCATCATGTACTGTTTGAAAGACGAAATGATTCAGTCAAAAAGGGCATGTCTTTAGTCACTAAAATGCAAGGAGAATTGCTTTAAATTGACAGTAGATGACGACATAGTCGTATCTTACCTGCATAATGCTGCAGCAACTGCTTACCGCAAGGTGCCTGAAACAAACAAAAATCCATTAATTCTGCAGAATTGACTGACTAGGTAAAAATAATACAACATTTCTTGAAATTTATAGAATAATAAGCAATGCTTCTTCACCTTTTTAGATAAACTGCGTAATTTATCACCGATGATTTTTTGAGCATTAATTCTCTCTTTATAGCAATAACATTTTACCTGATCTTTAAAGTCAGCCAAGTCATACACTTTTCCATGGATTACTACCCATAATCCACCTTCTTTATTGTGGTTCTCTAATTCCTGAGGTCTTATCAAAGTGACATCACCTGCACGACGGCTGGCTGGTGTTGGGCTACCTGTGTGGGCAATAAACATGCAAGATAAACAAGAATTTTGTCATCAAACCAAGAAGTGAAACCTTACCTATGCCTCCTGGCCATGCCAAGTCTTCTTCATCTTCTTTATTAACACCAGGTGCAAGTTTATTGAATTTATCCAGCATATCTAACAAACCAGCAAGTACTGGTATTATCTGTGCAGCGTAAAGTGCTGCTGGTAGACAAGTGTGTAGAAGTACTACAGACACTAATAGTTCTGGTAGTAAGACTCCTGTATACTCTCTTTGAATGATTTGTGCTGTAGCTACATAATACCGGGGTCCATTGGAGGCAAGTGATGATGCACTGGGTAATACTTCACCAACATGAGCACATACTAAGGCTACATACTTATGTAACAGTAAAGCAGAACCAATTTGCTTCTTTGATAATGGGACTTCATCACCTGTTGCAAAGAATACAGTAGAGTTTCTTAACAATTGTGTGTCATTACATATGTACAGTAAATGAACAGCAAATGACTTGCAGACTGCTTGACTGCCTGATTGAGTGAATAAAGAAAAGTTATTAGTATAGTGCTAGGAAGGACGTTATTCCAGAAGAAAGACCCTTGGAAATAAATTCGGAAATAACCTCCTACCTAGCACTATAACTTTCCTATATTTCTATAYTATGTATCTAAGTGCATGCAGTCCTTACATTCATATGATTGACTGACTGACTGATTGAATCACAAACTGACAAACAGACTGACTGACTGACTGATTCAATCAATCACTGACTGATACACTCTGACTGTCAACTGACTGACTGACTGACTGTCTTCTGACTGATTGGATAAGTGAATGATAGACTCACCATCATTAATGAACCATGGTTTATCACTGCCTTCCTTTACAAACAAGTTTCCCATAAGAAGTCTTTGTAATTTTAACAGTAGTTCCACCATAGTTGTCCTGGCTGGAGGTGCATATGGCCACTGTAATTTTGGTGGCTTGAGAATCATTTCTTGGAATTCAGCCCTAACTTGAGCACTGGAGGATTTTAACAGCTGTTGTGTAAGATGTAGTATTGGTACACTTGTAGCAAAATCTTTTGTGTCAGTTCCATATTCTTTTTCACTCAATTTATGGTTAGCAATCTCATTTTCAATGGCATTTTCCAAAGCTGACTCTAAGCTTCCTTCAGCCATCAAACTGTTTACAAGTAGTTCTAGCATGAACTTCTTACCGAGTTGCATTGTTGGAGGTTTATCTGAGGCTAAGAGAATATAACAAGCAGTCATTCAAAATGCTCTTAAAGTAATAAAGACAAATAAAATATGTATTCTCAAGTTTGTGAAAGCACAAAGTGACATTACCCTGATAGTTTCATGAAGCTTGAATGGTAGTGTGGTCATAAAAAAACTGAATCAAGAAAACAACATGGCTACAGTAGAGCATAGCCATTTTTTCTAAATATTTTTATAATCTATCCTATGACTYACTTTCAACAAGTAATTCAGTCAAAGCTCTTGCTCTTTCCTCTGGTGTTGGAAGCAGTAAAACCCAGCCACTTTTCAAAGCCCCTTGAGCAGCWACTTGGACTGTTTTAAGAACTCCTTTGTTGCTGGCCAAGGTSACAACTTGTTGCTTTAATGACTGAAGTAGTTTACTTCCAACACCAAGACCAAGCTCATCGGAATCTACACCTTCTGTGATGGCAGCATGTAGCTACAAAATGAACACACAGAATAAATATAGGAATAATGAGAATGAATGAATACAGGAATAATGGGAACAAATGAATATATGAATAAAGGGATAGAAAAAAATGAACGAATACTAATAAATAAGCAAACATTGACTAAATTGCTAAGTCACTAATAAAAGGCCAAAGGATAATACAMCAAAAAGGAAACATGATTTACTGACGATTTAAGTTAATGAATGGAAAACAAATTAAAAATAGATGAA